TAGTTTCTGTGACATTCATTGTATACTTACTTACATAAAAACGCTCATCAACTTTCGTTTAGGTACTTCTTCAGAAGACCTAATAGACTGACGTCAATATTATAGGTAGGTATAATCCAACAATATCACGTATTTTATGTAGGCACTTGTATATTTACCCTCCCCCAACATAACTAGCCCATGACTTATATGATTTTGTGCATGTAAAGGGCTGCGAAAATTATCTTTGCCCGGATTGGCTAAATAGCTAAATTGGGCCCTGCTCACAACGTTAAATGCTCGATTCATGCTTGATATCCAACGATAATATGATACAGTACATTCAGTACTCTATGATCTGTAAGACCCGATCTATAATAACGGTTGTCTTTAGTGTTTTTTTTAAAAAGACTTTCGGTTGTCAGACATTACTATACTCTTTGGTCGCGTAGATCCTGACAATCGCTTAGGCTCAGAAGGGCTAGAACCCAGAGCCGTAAATCCAGTTTAAATACAATATATGACAATCGTTTGATCCGGAACGTTAAAAAATTGTAATTGCAATCATCTATACTTTGATGCGACTCGGGTGAAATTAACGAATCCTTCATGATTGACACATGTCTGTTCCATATTATTAGCATGAAGTTATAGATAAAGATGGAGACCACACTCCGAATACCTACTTGAAGCTTAACCTATGTATTACTATCTCGCTCTCTGTGAGCAGACCCTCCCTTTCTAAGTAGGTAACCTTTATTTTATTTTTCCCAGGATATCGCTATAAGTAGTTGAGTTACATTAAGTGTTTTATTTATAAATATCTATATCTCTGTTTACTACTAAGACCTAGCCTATATAGATTATATATTTTTGTACAATTTTTTTTGGGAATTTACTAGTTTTATGAAGAAAGGTTTTCATTTCCATGGGCAGAACCGGTATTAAAATATGACCACGCATATCCGTCACAACCCATATAATGCCGAGCCTATTTAGAAAATGTGGAAAATAAATATATCAGAGAATATTTTATAACTACCATTTTGATAATGTATTTTCTGGTTATTGTATACAATTCCTAAATGGTACCAACGAAATATAAAATTAAAATTTATTATAACCCCGGGTGATCAATGAATTGGGCAAAATATACCTGATTTATTGTTCAGACAGACTAAATCTATTTCTGGACAATTATTTTAAAAAAATATCACGAGGACTAAAGCAGCGTAGCGGAGCTCCTGCCTTAGCCTTCTGACCTAACCCATCCGAGTCAGGCTGTCCTGAGCTGAAATGTGTATAATACTATATTCCACACATCCAGTTCATTTTAAGAATTATCTACAATTCCTAGGAATTTTATATAATAACGAATTTCATAGATTTCTAGTAACATATGTATTATAATAGGAACGATAACATATTATTATTTTGAGTTGTTATCAGGAAGATGCCGCTGCCCATCTCCTGTTTCATTTTCCCTCTGACACCTCTTACAATACCCTCGGAACGATATGGGGTAGTGGATATTCTCACACCGCCACTACATGATTTTTTAAAAACCTTAAAAAAAAATAAAAGCACTTTCCATATTAAAATTATTTATTGAAATTTTAAACACCATGTGGATTACTCTATGGCTTTTTGAAGTCCTTACAGATATGAGCAAAGCACCCTTGAATAATATTTTCAATTTCTGACTGACCCGTATACTTTTTAATAGTGTCCATTAAAGAAGACCTATCCTGAATTTTTTAGTTTGGCGCGCCACTTTTTGCTTAAGAATCTTAGTTTTCGTCTCAAGTATTTCTTCTTTAGTACACTTTATTTTCACTTGCACACCCCTATCAATCTTCGCGGGATCTTCGTATTCACTAGTGACATAAAAAACAAGAAAACTTTATGAAATCAGTATTTTTAGCATCGTACATCGTATTGCTCCGCTCGTAAGGGTCGTAGCGTGATGTTAGATAGCCTTCCTGAAGAATTGGTTTTAAAAATGCAAAAAAATATTTTCAAATCAGACTGGTATAGTTCCAGAGATTAGAGAACTCAAACAAAAAAAAGAAACAATTAACTCTTCTACATCATAATGTCAGTACAAATTTACATCACTTAATAGGTAACACATAATACACCGTAGCGCACCTTCATGAGCACGCATAAATGAAGCATCAAACAAGAAGCTTTATGCTTAGTGTCGTAGTGACGGTTACCACACTGCGATTGGCACTAAAGAGTTTAAATATGTATGTGTTTTAAGCTATATAATACATTATGTAATGTAATATTAAAGTCATAATAAATACAAATAAAAGGTATGTATTTAGTAATAAAGGAAAAGGAAACTTACAGGTAATTTGTTGAGATTGCATAAATTTTCAAGAATTTTTCGACATTGTTTTTTACTAGTTTTGTCTTCAATATTACAGGCAGTACATTTCACTTCTGTTTCCAAGTTTTCCTGTTTTCAAGTGCAGAACTACTTTCATAAATGCCAGAACTTGGTACAGCCAGAGCAGCTATTTGCACAATAGACTATTCATGTAATGCACTATTGTCTGTAAATAATAACATATTTTACAAAATGTTGCTTTATATCATACATTTAAACTGCTACATTTCTAAATACATAATTATTATAAACGTTATTAAAGTATCAGAATAATGAGAAACAAAAACTAAATAAAAATAAATTGTCTACCAAAAGAATATATTGTTACTAATTTTTAACTTAATATTATGAAATCTATGAAATCCGTCATTATATAGAATATATAGAAGTGTACATAATTCCTAAATTTCATGAATTTCCGGTAACATAATAAGAAACATGTACATACATATAATTAGTTAAGGTCACACGGAAAGTCTCAGATACATCGTCAATTCGTCAATATGGTCACACTACTTCAGTGCGATTTCTTTTAAATAAAAACAATAAAATTGTTCAAACTTAATTAAATTCAATGTAAAACTATTTGATCTTGACAAAGTTATAATTTACTAATATGTTTAAAACACTGATAAAACGTTTCATCAAAAAATTAAGTTAAAATACAAAAAAGTATGTTTACAAGTATCCAATGCCAGAAGTCACTATTTAAACACTTACGTGTGAAATCTTATATCACCTCCTGGACACCAACTACTGCCGCAACCACGTACTACACAAGTTTGGACCATTTCTTGAATTATAACAATAATTAACTTTAAATATCTCAAACGACGCTGTGAACTGCTAAGTAAAGTAAACAACCGCCATATTTGTCTAATTTATGTTGACATATAGGGCTAATGTTGCCACGTTACCGAACCCTTAGGAAATGGGATTGTAATTCACTGATTCGTTAACCCAATAATGCATACGAGACCTTCGATTTTGGAATTTTTAATGTAACTAATCGTAGATCAACTATTTATTTATTGGTACATTACTTTATAGAGCTTAACTTCTGATTTAGTTAGTGTGGAAATTATTTCTATGAATTTACCGGGAGATTCATATAAAAACATAGCAATTTTGTGTTCCACACTAAAAGGAGAAGTCAGACCACAGAGAGTGAGATAAAAATACGTAGGTATTTGACTCAAGCTGTTGTTCCAAGTGTGGCCTCCATCTTTATCTATAACTTCATGATTATTAGGTATAGGCGAATCGTAACAACAACAATAACGTCAGCTGTTTTAGCTGTCAGTGTCAATGTCAAATGTCAACTCGGTAGGAGCACTGACCACCTGTGCTGACCAGTGACTAGTGTTCTGTGCCACAGTGCCAGTGACCAGTGACCACTGTAGATTACTGTATATATATTAGGACCACTGAGCTTTCGTTCCTGTAGTGTATAGGACAGTTACTATATTCTTTGCCACTGAGTCAGAGTATTTCTGAAAGGTAAATAAATAGGAATAGGAGACTAGCAGAAGACTAGAGAAGGAGATGTAGGAGAAGCCTTTTTGAAGAAGACCTCGATCCGATAGTGATTAAATCAGAGTGATCTACGTCAGGAGTTATGGCGTTGTTGTAGATCCACCAAAATAGAGTAAAATTAGTTTAAACATTTTTTCTTTTATGTATTTTCAATACAAATAACACATTTTTACTTTAAGTTTATGCTTAAGAGCGAATCTGCGGTATATGGATTGTAGTTGCATTCATATAAATATAATTATCAAACTATTTACTTACTTTATGTTATATAGACTGATAAGTAGTTGCAGTTATCAGTGGTATTAACCGGCTTGCATATTATGGATGATAACAAAGCAATACATGTTTGTAGCTATACTTATAAACATTTAAATAAGCTGATTTCTAAAAAAAAGCTGATGGAATTAAGCAAAAACATATTTAGAATAAGTCTGCAGTATACTAGAATTAACCTTTCAAATTTTTTATTATCGTTCACAGATAATATTGCCTTGGTGTGGTAAAAATGTATTTGTTTGATTCTTTAAAAAAATAAACTGATATGACTAAATATTATAGTGTGGTGAAAAAGTAAAATTACCATGTTTTAAAACCATGTAAATTAAATACACAACTATCAAATATCTTTGTATTTTTTAGAGCAACACAAGCCACCGGTGGATAGGAGTAGCCAAACGCAGGCATTCCCCTCTGTCAAAGTATAATAAGTCTATGTGGTCCCATGCATACTATAAAACTAGTTGTAGTTGCACTGTTCATCAAACTAAATCTAGTTGCACATATGATACAGGTGGCCTGTGTTGCTCTATTACTGTGTTTGAGTTTGACTTTAATTTTAGAATGTTAAAAAATACAATAATTTTAGAATAGATATATATATATATATATATATATATATATATATATATATGTATATATATATATATATATATATATATAAAAGTGATTTTGTATTTTGTGGCAAGATTTTACTTAAAACAAATGTGCATCTTTTATTTTATATTTGTATGCTTTCAGTTTTTTTTTGAGTTACTTTCAACTGGTAGCAGCTGTAATAATAACTATAGTTTAAAGATTGTGAAGTCTAATGCTCAGGATGTCATCTCAGGTGAGGTACATATCTACATTAGGCAAAATGGTTAAATAAATAAAAACCTTCAGAAACCTAGGTACCTTTAGAACAAGCTTAATGGTTAAAACAGTTATTATAAACCTGACTGCATAAAACAGTTTATTGAAAAGTGAATAATTATTTTTAATAAGTTTTGAAAATTTAAGTGAAAATGGTTGCTAACCAACTTTAAATTGTTATAATATATAGAAACCTAAACATGATTTTCAAAGACCTATTCAATGATACTGACAATGATAATGAATTTTGAATACTGTCATGTCTTTAGTGACACTCAATTCGACTAGACTTGATTGACGTAATAATCATCAAAATAGGCCCACGCATTTGGTCTCTAGAACGACACAATACAACAAACATACATACATAGATACATATATAGGCTGATAAACACATTACCCTCCTTTGTGTCAACGAGTCTGGAAAAATTTAGGATTTGTTATTTGTGTCGCTACAGAGACATCCAACATACTTCCCCAAGCCTTACTTGTTATTTTTCCTACTGTTTTTAGGAATTTAAATCTCTCTTTTACAAATAACATTTTCAACTTCAATGAGGCTGTGAAAAATGCCTTTACAGAATTCATCAATTTTCAGTTTAACAATTTTTACAACAGAGGTCTCACTCAACTCCTATTTAAATGGCAATATTATAATGACAAATGGCTGGAACTTGGGATTACATAGATATATAATTTTCATAGAAACACGTTTTTAGTTTTCAATGCGTAATTTTGTAAGATGGATCACAATATCATCTTAGTATTTGTCACATATTTAAACTTTAATACACTAATAACACTCGTTGATAATTATTTAAAAAAAAATCCTTTTACTTAAAAACTCTTACTGTTACTCATCTCACTAATAATTTCTCGTGTATTGTGGCACATTTTATACAATGTGTCCGGTCAGGACCTAGCGATAATTTAAAGTTACAAAATATACCTAATTTCATCGACAAAAACATCCATTTATGGGGGTCTACCCCTGTCGGAATGGCCGCCATTTAATTTATTTTTTATTTTTGTAGATACCTCTGCCAAAAGATGCATATTTTTCTGGACAGAAAGGTCCTACAGATGTAAAAAAAATGTTATTTAAAATGTAAAAATAGCATCTATCAAATAAAAATAAACATCATGGAAAGTTTTCCCTACAAAATATCTCAATAAAATTTACAATGCTAATTTAAGTAAAAAAATTACTGTTTTTTTTTTCAATTGTGTAGGTTTTTTTTTAATTTGTAGGACCGTTCTGTCCAGAGAAATCTGCATCTTTTGGCAGAGTTGTCTACAAGAATAAAAAAAAATTAAATGGCAGCCATTCCGACAGGAGGGGTGTAGGCCCCATATATGGGTGTTTTTGTCGATGAAATTAGGTATATTTTGTAACCTCCAATTATCGCTAGGTCGTGACCGGACTCACTGTGTATTCAATTGCATATGAAAAAACACCCATGACTATAACAATTATTTGTAGATCACACAGAGCAAGTATTAAGTAAACAATAAAATAAACGGTAAATAAGCCTGCAGCCAGCTGCACCATTGTAGTAACATTGTAGTAAATGCATTATATTTTCATAGGATCGAAATATTAACAACAATTTTCTAAATGTTGCAGATAGAAACAATTGTAAATGCTTATAAAACCCTAGCCAAGATTCCCGCAATAGCTGGAGGTAAACTCAACAACAATGGAAATAGAATCTCTTGCAAGTGGTCAGTGCGCAACTTGGACAAAGGGAAGACTACGAAATATCTTCATGATTATATTTTGGACACTGACTTAAATGTTATAGCTCAGAGTGACTTTGGAGTAGATGTTAGCAATGAGTAAGTAAACAAAACAACCACGCCACCTACCGGGTCCAATTGTAAATTTAAACTATTCTCAAATCGACTTAATCACCCACACAAAATTTCATCAAAATCGGCCCAGCCATTTAGGGAGGGAGAGAGCACCCCTCTCGCCGCAGCCCACCAATACAGATCCGAAGTGGGCTCACCAAGCCCACCCGGAGTGGCCACCTTGAGCTAACCATGTGAGTTCCTCTTAGTTCACAGTGGGTGACCAAGCTATGACTACTAAGGCCCCCCCCTACCCCCCCGCCACGACAAGACGGTAGCGTCATGTCCTACAGTTACCATAGCTCTTGACTGTTCCGTATATATAATTTTTTTTGGCCTAGGAATCTGGGAAGGTACCATCTTCTTTCTTATTTTTATCATCAAGCAGCGGTGCTGGTACTGCTGTAGTCTGGTCTAAAGGTTATATAGAGCCAGTATAATTGCAGATTGTGATGATACGAGCTTCCATTTTTTAAAGGGCTGGCAAAGCACTTACAATTCCCCTGGTGTTGCAGTTGTTCATGGGCATGTTTGTTTGCCCCATCTTGTATGTGTAGTCTCCTTTTTTTTATACGATTGGGTGACAAACGAGCACACAGTCCACCTGATGGTAAGTGGTTGCTGTGACCATAGACATCTACATTTATCCTCAATAAACAATTAAAATGCAGATACGTCGTCACCCGTGAGGACTAAGATGGAATGCCTCTTTTCCATTAAAATGGGTCTCCGGTTCTCTATACTCACCATATGAAACACAGCAGTGTTTAGCTGCTATTTTACGCTGGTATTCTATGAGAGCGTGGTCCTTCCCCGGTCGAGCCGACCCATTCGTGCTACAACTATACTACTAATATAGCTGCAGCATGGCTCTACCACATATAGTTTTTTTGAAGTTAATTGCAAGTGTCCACAGGTTGTAGTCCTGGAGTCCTTAAGACCGAATTTCGGTCACGGCGGCCAGTCTAAACGGAGACTAGCCATCTGCGCAGAACAGGATTATAGTGCACAAGTGTATGCGCAAGCACAGATGCACTCTCTATTTCCTCAGTCTCATAGTCCAATGGGATAGCAAGCGAGAGAGATCAGCCCAAGACCTGCGGCTTTACGTGCTTTCCGAGGCAAGGGACGTCCTGACACTGGGCTGCTACTGAGAATTTCTTGACTGAAAAACCAAAAAACTGATTTTGGCCCGACCCGGGATCCAAACCCAGAACTTCGTTAACGACCACTAGACCAACGAGGCAGTCACACACAGAGGATGTTTTTTAAAAGTATGAGCAGAGCACAGGATAAGAGCGGGTTATGCGACCTTGTCAAGTTGACAGTAAACCCCAACGCCTCTTGCTTCGGGTTCGAGGTGTGGAATATTCAATAAAAATTTAAAGCAAAAGTTATTGAAAGTCAATTTTTAATTTACTACTGGTTTTTATAATACCTCTGCCCTAGGAAGAACCAAGAAAAGCAAGATATGGACGGCGGTAAAAATAAGTGAATCAAATGATGACGCAAGCGAAGTGGCGAGATAGTATTCAATAGAATAGAATAATTTTTTATTCAATATTGATTATTACATAATACTTATTGAAAGTCATTTTTTATTTACCACTGGTTCGAAAAATACCTCTGTCCTGGGAAGAACCAGCAAGAAACCCAGTGGGACTTTTTTTTTCAAACATATTTCACTTGACAATAATTTCGTTTATACAATTTTTAAATGATCTTTCATAGAACCAGCATGGTGGCGATCACCTTATTCCCAGGGGTTATTTTCATTCATGTATTCCTTGATATTATAATAACCCTTTTTGTACAGTTTTTCTTTAATAAAACTTTTAAACTTGTTTATTGACAAACTTTGAATATGTTCTGGGATTTTGTTGTAAAAGGGTATACATTGCCCCATAAATGAATTACTGATTCTGTGGACTCTAGTAACTGGAATAATAAGTTAATATAGAAACTAAGAATAGATTCAGTCTATAACTTAGGTCAAAATTAAGTGTAAGCCCACTTGCTGGATGTAAGGTTTTCCAAGAATGAACCTGAATGCCAGCTGCTTTTTTTTATCAAGCCATATTAACTGCTGGGCATAAGCCTACCATAGCTAGAAATATTTGCCGTAATGGATACACCTGGCAGGCGGGTTGGTGTAATAATAGTTCTCTCGCATTCTTCATGGTGTTCGTTATCGCCTGCTTGGGTTATATAACAAACACGTCCACACAATTCAATCTTTCACGTCCTTTTGTAAAACTAAATCGAATAATATTACGAAACTTTTTTTTTACCAGGTTACTGTCAGCCGTGTCTCCAAAAGGAATGTATAAGGCGGTGATACGCGAGGAGAAGGAGGGCAAAGAGAGTAAAAAGCAGTACCTTGAAGTTTGGTGCCGACATAACCTCGCTCATTGCATCGACCTCACTGCACTCGATATACACGGAGATGTTTATGCTGACTGTACGTTGAATCTTCTTCTCTTTTCTTCTTCATCAGTCCGTAAATTTACTACTGAAGATGGGCCTCGGTTAGATGTTTGTAAGGAGGATTTGCTATATTACCCATACTTGGAAACCAGAGTATCAGTTGAATACAGATATCCCCAAATTTAATAACAAGAATTGCAATATTCTAAGCAATAAGGCCCTTTTTACTGGAAATGAGGCATTCCATCTTAGTCCTCACGGGTGACAACGCATCTACATTTTGATTTGTACTAGAGGATAGATGTAGATGTCTATGGGCCGCAGCAACTACTTACCATCAGGTGGACTGTGTGCTCGTTTGTCACCCTAATCTAATTAAAAAAAATTAAATTGGTTGTTTCAGTGGGATACTTGCCAAGGGTATTTGAATCTATAAGTCTAATACGTTTTGGAGGTTGAGCTCAGGAATTATATGAATTTAATTGTTCCATTATCATTTCAACAAGCCCGCACGGTGGTTTTCCATTTTCTTCGTTGTTGATTAACAAACATTCGGACTATGTGGTTTGATTCGTCATTTAAAGTGCTAAAGAGCGGAATCATTGGAGACCCTCTGTAACATTTTCCATCTGTATTTTTGTAACACTCTCTCCATCTGAATACAATTTGGGTGGACTTCAAAAGAAGACTGTGTTGCCGCGTAGTGACGGCGTCAAAGAATCTACCATCTAATTTTGTCCCGTAGGTGTCGTAAAGGGCGACTGTGGGAAATGTCAGAATATATGTCCAGGTAGAGCCACACTGCAGCTATATTAGTAGTATAGTTGTAGCACGAATGGATCGGCTTAACTGGGGAAGGACCACGCTCTCACAGAATACCAGCGTAAAATAGCAGCTTAACACTGCTGTGTTATGTATGGTGATTGTAGAGAACCGGATACCCTTTTTACTGAAAACGAGGCATTCCATATTAGTTCTCATGGGTAAAAACGCATCTGCATTTTGATCCTTTATTGATGATAGATGTAGATGTGTCACAGCAACCACTTACCATCAGGTGGACTGTGTGTTTGTCACCCTATCCTATAAAAAAAGAGACACTAGTCCAACTGTTCACTTTTACAGGCTGATGATGATGATGACAACGATGATGCGATCATGAAGGTATATATGATAATATAGTCTAGTAGGTTCATGTATATAATGTAGTTCTTAAGTTGCCACCACGCAAGTAATATTGTGTTCGTTCAATATTTCAGCTGAGTTTGGCAGCTTGGACTGGGCCAAGGACGAGACCGCTGTAGTTTACGTAGCTGAGAAGAAGCTAAAGAAATCTGAACCGTACATCAAGAGGAAATCCGAGGAAAAGGCCAAAGCAGATGGAAGTGGTGAATCTGCGCCGAAGAAAGTAAATACAGATTTAGAGAATTTATTTATAGAACTAGTTGCTCCCCGCGACTTCGCCCGCGTGGATTTTATAACGAATTATTACGATATATTGTAAGCTTTTTTTGCGCGGAACCCCGATTCTTTTTCTAAAATAAAAGTAGCCCAAATTACTCCTTATAACATCAGCTATCTGCCAGTAAACGTCCCGTCAAAATCGGTCCAGCCGTTTCAGAGATTATCCGGAACAAACGACAGACACACATACGGACAGACAGACAAAAATTTAAAAAAATATTTTTGTTATAAGTACCGTATATACTTTCATATACATTTAATAAAAAGCTGTTATCTTGACATTACAAACAGACACTTCAATTTTATTTATTTGTATACATGAGGTCGATAATTATTAATTGTACATAAATTACATTTTAATAAAAAGTAAAAGTTGTCCTCTGTCCTGTTTCACCGCGCGACTTTTATTCTGGCGTATTATATTCCGTGATAGGAATTACACCTACTACGCACTGCGTATAAAATTTCGTACGATTTTTGTCAGTTCGATGCAGTTCCCCGCTGAAACGCACGCCTAAAAATGAACAACAGATTTTTTTTAATTTACCTGATACTACGGCGTCGGCGTGATAGACTTATCAAAAGATGTCATGAACATTAGATTCTCTAATTTACGGCCTTGAGATCTATAAAAGTATTTTTCTACATAAAACATCAAAAGCTGCGAAAATACATTTGTTTATTTACTATGACTTGTTGGTTGGAGACCTATTAAGATACGAATTGGACAATAATAATTTTAGCTGGAGAGAGACGCGAAACGCGCGAATTTTATTCTGCAGTGAGGAGATAGCCATACTTACTTTATACTGCACAAAATATGTGCGCGGAAATAAATCGCACCGCATCACGTTCAATTTGCATCAAATCACAGTTCTTTTCCCGCGTGATTTTTTTCCGTCAGTGCTGCTACTCCTATAAGATTCTATGTGTAACAGAATTGCGTAAAAAAATCGCTCGGTGAAATAACGCATTGCGTACAAGGCTTAAGGCAAATCATAATCCCAATGTTGTTGTCTAAATAGTTATATGAAAAACTTGGTTCTCTATTTTTCCAACATTGGGGGTAGAATTTATTTTCCAATATTATGTGGGAACACCTCAGAAGTATAACTTACTAAATAAAAAAAATAATTTTCGAAATCCGTTCACACTCGAGGACTGATTGATTTCTTTTGTGCTCGAGTCTTTAAGCATGCTGGTTGTATGCGTGCATGCGTGCGTGTATATGTGTGTGTGTCAGAGAGAGAGAGCGAGAGAGAGCATGAGAGTGTGTGTGTGAGAGAGAGCGAGAGTGAGTATGAGAGCGACTGTGTGTGTGTGAGAGAGAGAGAGGGTATGAGTGCGTGTGTGTGTGTGTGAGCGTGGGAGAGTATGAGAGTGAGTGTGATTGTGAGAGAGAGAGCAAGAGAGATAATGAGAGTGAGTGTGTGGACAATACATCTGCTTTTCATTCTTCATCAAATAAATATTTGTTTGGTGTCTATGGGTCACAGTATTCAACAACTGCGTTCTGTGTGTTACTTATAATACTTGTGTGTTATTTAAAATCTGAATTTGTTATAGGGTGAAGAGTTTCTCTACAGACAAGACTGGGGCGAGCAGTTAGTTGGCAAGCAAATGTCAGTGATTGTTGTTTGCCGTCTGCCTGCTGAGAGCTTCACAGTTTTAGAGGGTTTGCCAGAGTCATGGTGTCCAGGACAGGTAAAGGATCTGTAGATAATAAATATTTGATTCAACATAAAGGCAATATAGTTTATACTAAAAATAAAATGTTACAAAAGTTTTTAGGCATTCTTTACTACTCCACGGAGCAGTGAGATTTTGACGTAGTTTTTGCAGTTTAAGCATAATAGAATATAATATTATTTCTAAGTAAGTTGTCTTGATAGTTATAAGTTATAGTTATAAGTTATAATGACTAAATAACAAAACAGTTTTATTTGTCACGCTGACATAAAAAAAAATTCTCAGGTCCGCTTCACGAACGACGGCCAAAGCGTGGTGGGAGTAGCTTGGGAGACGGAACCCAGGCGTCTCGGACTCATATTCTGTACCAACCGACCGTCGTACATTTTCAACCTGACATTAGATGGAAGCATGAGTATGTAAGCTTTGTCAATAAATATATTTTTACATTAATACTGTTTAAAATTGCTGTGGTTATATATATATATATATATATATATATATATATATATATAGGATAGGGTGACAAACGAGCACACAGTCCACTTGATAGTAAGTGATTGCTGTGGCCCATAGACATCTACATTTATCCTCGCTTGCGAATCAAAATGAAGATGCGTTGTCACCCGTGCAGACTAAGATGGAATGCCTCATTTCAAGTAAAAACGGTCTCCGGTTCTCTACATTCACCATACGAAACACAGTAGTGTTAAGCTGCTATTTCACGCTGGTATTCTGTGAGAGCGCGGTCCTTCCCCGGTTGAGTCGACTCATTCGTGCTACAACTATACTACTAATATAGCTGCAGCATGGCTCTACCACGTAAAGAAAAGAAATAATTTTATTTCAGATAATCAATTTTAATCAATCGTAATCTTCAGGGGTGATAACGCATTTGCATTTAGTTTTCTAATCGAGAATAATGTACATGTCTATGGGCCACAGTATCCGTTTAACATCAGGTGGGCTGTTTGCTTATTTGTCACCCTTATTCTCTAAAAAAAAAAAATGCAATAAATAAGATTATACATGGAGTCATATGGATAAAATTTTGTATAATAGATACTTTTTCATCACTAGAAATTTTCCTGTGTCGTGGACGCGATTTACATACATAAATTATACACATAGACATGAAACATTTATCTAAGACTAAACAAACATAACACAAATTTACCAAAATCACACGCACGCACACACACACACACACACACACACACACAGGCACGCACACACCTACTCACGTACACGCAACCACGCACGTTTGCGTGCACACACGAGCACATATACGTATGCCCATTAAAAATAATATTTTAATAAGACTAAATAAAAAGTAAAAGCTGTCTTCAAAAAACCACGGAGCAAATACAAAGAGGAGACGGCTTAAGCAACTGTGCACTGTGATTCTAACTAGGTCCTGCCGTCATCACAGTGGGCGTGGCTTTAGTTACTATACTGTCAGCGTTCATCCTGTGCATATGTGTCGTAAATCTCAAATCTGCGTATTTTCGTAATATTAAGAAGAAAAGGTAGAAGTGTTGTGTTTTATTGTGTAAAAGCTACTCAGATAGACGCTCTGATGCTATGGATGGTATCACATTTCATTTGTAAGTAATTTTATACCTAAATTATTAAAATAGTTCTAGAAAAATCTCTTTGCTTTCAAATATAATTAAATATATTCGACACTAGATGGCGACACTTTGTGTCATAGGAATTAAAAATATAAAGGTAAAATAATCATACAAAGGTGCTAAAATTTGTTTTACATTCAGTCCTAAAAAATTTTTAATTGCCAAAATATTATTTTTATAGTTTTTATAATCATTTTGTGAACAGGCCGCCATCTATCGTTAAGGTAGCTAATCTACATTGCACCATCGTTATGCGAGTAGTTTTACTATTTATCGGTAGATGGAAAATACTTAAGTGGACGAGGCTTAACACCCCCTTAACCCACAAATTGTCACGCGTTGTTATATAGTGAAATCTAATTACAACACCTTCTCTTTGTATTTGCTTCGTGCAAAAATCTAAAACGATTTTAATAATTTTTGCATAATAGCTTCAGAAGCTGGCTTTGATACTTATAATCATTGTGTCTTAGCACAGACTTCTGAAGGTATTATGCGAATATTACTTTATTTTTTTAATTTTACGAAGTCGGCTTTTACTTTATATTAAATGTTTAATTTTTACCCTTTTGGGTGTACTAAAGAATATCAAAAGCTCGAATATAGGTTAAATAGATATTTAAAACTTCATCCCCTATTTTTACCCACCCTTAGGGATGGATGTTTTTCTCCAAATTTTCGTTTATTTCTTTTCTCATAAAAATATAATATCGTTCAGATAAGACCAGTCCACTGTCACACTGGGTATCCTAATATTGACACAAGCCTCTAACAAATAAAAAATCTATTAATTAAATAACTAATAAAAATCTGTGAGAGGAATGAACTGATTTATTTAAGCAGTCCACTATTGGATGTTTACTTCTATCTTTTAAGTAGATTTTTTATTATAATTACTCAACTAATAAAAAACTAAACCCTTATCAACATCAAAACTATTATTAAATATTTTTTTGATCACTTTCAGCTAAAATCTCATCTGAAGGAATGTCGGTCCGTTCACCTCGTTTAAGCCCGACTGGAGATTTACTGTGGCTACAAAGAGTCGCGGATGGGCCACATCACGCATGCCACGCTCTAGTTGCCAAGAAAAAGGATGCTGTGAGTCATCATTTAATACTACACTGTTGATTGGTGTGTGTGTGTAGTGTTATCTTCCCATTGGAAAGGAATAGAATGAAATACGATGGTGTATCCATTTATGTGTAATAAATACTAATAATGAGTCAACTTGGCGACTAGACGGAGCAACGATGGGGCGCGGTATGAAGGAGAGCGGAGACCCCCGACGCCCGCGTCGACTGCGGTAGTACCGGTTGGCTTTGTCTGCGTACCGGTACGCCCCGTTTAGGAGTGTCACGTACACGGAGTTACACGCGTTTGGTGTTTACCCAACAAACGATATTACTCGGTATTCTTTTGAAATATTTGTAAAAGATTGTACGACGCCTTAAGTAAAATTGAATTCTAATAACCATGTGATTGCTTTCCATCACGATTTTTAATTGAATTATATGAAACGATGAGAATTCATTATATCATTAAATTCAACAAAAGAATTAAAAAAACCCAATATTAAATGGCGTAAATATTTTTCGGTTGCACATCTGTAACGAGGCGGTTGAATAAACAGAACCAACATATAATTTTAACCTTTTGTCGTATCGTCTGTAGAATCCCCTGTATTTATTATAATTTGGTTATCTATGACGGCATCGATATGTATGTCTCTGTCACAATCAGCGAAAATCAAATTTTTTGTTCGTAAAACCACACTTTCCCAATTCGCGGCAGTAACACTATCACAAGCTTCTTGCAACAATGACAGCATTTTGTTTGCAGTAAACGGTGGGCTGGTATTTTTACGAGCCGCATAACCTAAAATAAAGGTTTGCGTGTTAATATAGCAACAGATAGAATGGTAAAAATAAATTATAAAAAAGATTTGTTTAAATTCTTGCCTTTAATTTGCGCCCAAATCAATTCTATGGTATTGTATTGACAATGGTAGGGTGGAAGGCGCATTACATTGTGTCCGGCTTCCTTAGCCATTTCGTCCAATACGTATTTTAGTCTAGCTGGCTTATTTACAGCTGGCTTATATAAGAAACAGCCATACCTTTTTATTCTACCTTCCGGTGTGCAAATTATTTAAATCCAAGATATGTTCCGAGCGGGTGTAATACACGATACAGGAGAATTTCCTAACAGAAACAGAAACAGAAACTTTTTTATTCAATATAGATTATAAATAATACTTATTGAAAGTCACTCTTTTGTTTAATTACCACTGGTTCGAAAAAAACCACTGTCCTGGGAAGAACCAGCAAGAAACCCAGCAGGACTTTTTTTTTAAATAACAGCTTACAATCGTGTATGTTACACAAATTAACAACACAACAAATTAGAAATAGCTTGGTAGCGATCACCTCATTTCCAGGGGTTATTATCATCCATAAAGTCTTTAATATTATAATAACCCTTTCTATACCATATACAAACTTAGTTTAATAAAGTTTTTGAACTTTGAGCAGGTCAAATTTTGTATATTTTCTGGAATTTTGTTGTAAAAGCGTATACATCGCCCCAAGAATGAATTACGAGAATTACGAGACGAGTAACTTGTACTACTAGCGTGTCTGTTCCTAGTATTTACAGAATGAATATCACTTATTTTTGTAAAACTACTTTTATTTTTTTGTACGTACATGACATTTTCATAAATGTATTGAGAGGCCAAAGTTAATATATTAATTTCCTTAAATTTTTGTCGCAGCGACTCTTTAGGCTTTAAATCATAAATTGCTCTTATGGCCCTCTTCTGTAAAACAAATATAATTTCAGTGTCAGCTGCGTGTCCCCATAGTAAAATACCATACGACATTATGCTATGGAAATAGCTAAAGTAAACTAGTCTAGCTGTTTCGATACTGGTAAGACTTCTAATTTTTTTTACAGCATATGCTGCAGAACTAAGTCTGCTTGTTAGTTTTGATATATGGGGGCTCCATTGAAGCTTCGCGTCTAGTGTGATTCCAAGAAAAATGGTGGTATCTACAAGACTCAGTTTCTCCCCATTTAAAATTACATTAGTATTTAATTGTTTGACATTTGTATTCATGAATTTCATACATTTCCATTAGTGTGTTTTATTTCATTAGTGTGTACAAAGTGCCATTTAAATGCAAAGTATTAACATTGAACCAATTTACTTATTTAGATATAGCATTATTTACTTCGTCATATTTTAGTAATGGTCGACTTAATTTGAAAATTAAAGAAGTGTCATCTGCAAATAATACTATATCATGGTTGTGCCCTACTATGTAAGGTAAGTCATTAATGTATACAAGAAACAGAAAGGGGCCGAGAATTGGGCACGCCTTGAGGCACGCCCATTTGTACCATCGATCCGGAAGAGCTCATACTGTTAATGATAACTTTTTGCGTTCTCTTACTTAAATATGAAATAATTAATTTAAGAGCATCACTTCTTACACCGTAGTGTTGAAGTTTCCTGACAAATGTTTCATGGTAGAGCCATGCTGCAACTATATTAGTAGTATTGTTACGGCATACGGCTGCTCCCCTAAAGTTCAAATCCTCCGGGGCCCATCAGCGGAGTTTCAACGAACAGACGTAGGTCAGGCCTCAATATGGCCGCAGTGAAAAATCTCCTAATTACACTAAACTATATGGGGGAGCGTTCTATAATACGGCCAGTTGACCGGCAGGATATTAGACGGAGCTCACTTACCTATATCCAAGGCGACTGGTCCCTCCGGAGTCGGTCAGGTCGCATGTGGTTGTGTAGTGCAAGGGAAATAAGGTGATGTGATGTGTATCTGGGTGTGACTGATGGTGATTGAACCTAGACCTTGACCGTCGGCAGCAGCCCGGGCGTCGACACCGCTCCAAATTGAGGTAACCTTCCGCGGCGTTGTCCACAGTCACTTTCCTCGTTCGTCACGATGACAGTCCATTAACTCTATCGTACGATTAACTAACTTACAGAAGCCACTAACTCTCGTTTGTTATAAGGTTAACGCGCAAAAAACACGGAGTGTCCGGATCAAAGGTCACTACCGTTTCGCGTAGCAACAGTTATTTCTAGAATATCAAAGACCGCACTAGCTAATATTGCCGAGTGCACTTATGCAGATTCGGAGTCATACACAATGAGTCCCTGGGAAGCTCTCCATCAAAGAATGCGCGTCACAAATCCTAGACCGTATATTTACTGGCCGCGCCTAATTATTCCGAGTTCCCGACAAAAATGACAGCGTGCGGTTCCAAGCACAGCTGGTAGACGACTGACTAGCACTCGCGCGCGCTAGACACATCCAACTGTCAAACCGGATGGCACCGAGCCGCGCGCCCCCTAGACGTCGATTCCGACAACAGCGTTTGGCGCGAACAAGTATAGTTGTAGCACGAATGGGTCGGCTCGACCGGGGAAGGACCACGCTCTCACAGAATACCAGCGTTAAATAGCAGTTTAACACTGCTGTGTTTCGTATGGTGAGTGTAGAGAACTGGAGACCCTTTTTACTGGACAAGAGGCATTACATCTTAGTCCTCCCGGGTGACAACGCATCTGCATTTTGATTCGAAAACGAGGATAAATGTAGATGTCTATGGGCCACAGCAACCACTTACCATCAGGTGGACTGTGTGCTCGTTTGTCACCCTATCCTATTAAAAAAAATGGTGAACACAATCGAAGGCCTTGGATAGGCCACAAAATATACCCAAAGCATCCTGTGAATTCTCCCATGCAATAAAGATATATTTAATCAGCTCAACACCGGCATCAGTTGTCGAGCGACCCCTTGTGAAACCAAATTGATTTTTATGAAGTAAGTTATTTATATTAAAGAATTTTAACATTTGATCAAGAATATTTTTTTCAAAAATCTTACTAAGTGTTGGTAGTACAGAAATAGGTCTAAAATTGGCGGGGTCTAATGTACTACCAGATTTAAATAAAGGTATTACTTTACTATGCTTCATTAAATCAGGAAACACACCAGATTCGTCACTAGTATTAAAAATAATAGCTGAATAAGGCGCGATTGTATCTATTATAGACGCAATAATTTTAACGGAAATCCCCCACTGACCCGCAGTTTTCTTAACATCCATAGTTTTAAAATGTTTTACAATATCTTTTCATGATACTTTATGAAATGTAAAATTCTTTGTACACGCATTTACATTTTGTTTAAGTAATGATTCGGCGACCGCAGGAAAAGAATTCAGTGACTTAGTGGTTAATATCGGAATATCAGTAAAATATTTCTCAAAAACCATTAACCTAATAACGGGGTACTTTATTTAATTGGAAATTAATATATTTTTTCAGAGTGAAGTGTCATCAGTAATAGATATAGTGCAGACTGAACTGAAAATACAAAACGGCGAGAGCTTCTATGGGATATACAGCCAAGCTCTGCCATCGAAGTGCTTTGCCAGCGACAACAGAGTTGTTTTTAGTACTCCACAGCGGAACGAAGTCAGGAGCTATGTTATCGATATTGGTGAGTAAATTTCTCCGTGAACGCTTCCGCTCCTCCATCTACGTTTCCTCTGCCATGAAATCTGTCAAATATTTCACCTCATTCCAAAGTGGCGCCCCCTGGTGGTAAAAAAATCTCACGACTTTTGAAATTGCATGTCATTAACTATAAGGAACAGTCAACATGACGTAATGTAACTAGCATAGATTATTCACGAATAATCTAAGGTAACTAGTAAAATATCAATTTACACTGTCCATTTGGTACATTTATAACCTCGTAGCTAAACATATCCTTTTAAAACATATAATTAAACAAACTTGGTGTAATTATATGCATCATATTTAATTTCTGATAAATAATTAATAACTATATATTTATAGTAAAAAGCATTCATATTATGACGTGTTTTGGTAACATAAGAATCTATTACCCTATTTTATTCTGATACGATTTTTACACATGGTAGAGCCAGGCTGCAGCTATATTATGGTTTTAGCACGAATGGGTCGGCTACACGCTTTCACAGTAGACCAGCGTAAAATAGCAGTTTAATGCTGCTGTGTTTTGTATGGTGAGTGTAGAAAACCGGAGAGCCTTTTTACTGGAAACGAGGTATTCCATCTTAGTCTTCAGGGCCGACAACATATCTGCATTTTGATACTTAATCAACGGTAAATGTAGATAGTAGGCCACAGCATCCACTTACCGTCAGGTGGACTATGTGCTCCTTTGTCACCCTTATTCTATATAAAAAAAGATGTTGTCGTATCCATTTATACGTCTACCAAGCGTAATGATTGTTTCAAATCTTTAACGGTTAGGGCCATTCCCAACAGTGGCACTTTTATAGCTTGATGATAAAAATAATATTGAAATTTACATTTTTCTACAGATAATGGTAGTATCATCGATATATCGAACAAATCGATTATTGGGTCGACTACAGTGCTGGACGTCAAATCGGATGTCATACTCGCTTCTTGCTCCAACATGACTACACCTGGACAGGTATTTTGATAGTGGCCTAAGAGACTATAGCTCTATCTATTATTTAAAAACTTTTGAAGATCTTGTAATGAAAAGAAAGTGTAGTCTCTGGTATATGGCAAATTTCCTAGTAGTCAGACAACTAACAATACCAATTTAAATTTAATGGCACCTGCTTAGGTTTTATTGCCTAATTCATAATAGACTGCTAGAGTATGTCTGAGGGTCGCCAATTATGTACCTTATGCGCAATTAAGATTTTACATAAATACATACACAAATTATACAAAAACAATGTTCAGTGCATTTCTACATTTGCGATACTAAGGCTGGTATTCAGTGACAATCTCTAGTTTAAATTCAAGCTCTACAATATCAAAATTTGTGTAACATGCTCGTAGCATGGTCTAGACTCAAATCTTGACACTGTGAAGTTTGAGCGAATGAGTCCCACACAGTTCTGTCTGTCTGTATGATACTTGGCGGCCTTTTCCGTCATACTTGGCGTTTATAGTTTAATTTTATATTAAGACACCAGCGCACAGTTCTTTGGACACAGGCCCAGCGCATTTTTTGACTATTATAAGCCAGTGCTTGACTACTATCCCGCCTCGTTCTAAATGGGGATGATGATAGATGATAATGATGATTCTAGAACCTACAGTATGATTTATCATCTAGTCTAAATGACTTATTCACTTTTGTTTTAATCTGGGTGTCCAGATTGCTACCAGTTGGAGTCTGCAACCTGATCCAACCTAAGGGCTCATTCTAAAATAATTTACTCCTGAAGAGCGCATGAATGGTTAATGCAAATATAATATTACACAAAAACAAAATAAGATGTTTATTACATGAGGCATACATACAGTTAAATACATAAGTCATTAGTTATTACAACAATTAGTCACTAATTATTAGTGTGATCCTTAGCCTTGCATTTCTTCCGACAACTTGATGAAACCTGACTCATAATTTGAAGTACCAGTCCTCATACAATGGTCCTAATTTACATTTGTCATTAGTCATACTTCTATGTTTTGATTTTAAGTGCTTCATTGTTGAAAATATGGATTCGCATGCGTACGTTGATGCACTATACGCGTGTATTTTAAGAGATAAAATTGGATATTTATTTTCATCGACAATATTCCAAAAGTTTTCGTCCCTCATATATGATTTCAGGCTCAGGTCGTACCTTCATGGTTATTATTTCCAGTATTGCTTTTTTTTTATGTAGCTCTATGTCGCCCGACTACCAGCGAAAGGCTCCGAAGCAAACATCAAATGGATCCAAGTTACGAAACCCTGCGAAGTACCCGCCTCCGTCGCCAATTCCACTGTTCATTATATGGAGTTGGAGCAAAACACGCAGGATACTGTCAGTGAGTAACTTAATACACCCCTCTCCCTACAGATATTTGTGGTACGAATCTGTAATACAATGCTACTTGATTTCAAATGGTTTGTCAAAAGCTTGATCTAAAGACGGCTCCGTGGCGCGGTGGCTTTGCAATGAGTGGCGGCACTGAGAGCCGAGGGTTTGAATCCCGTATGCAACAAGTATTTGTATGGCCTACAAATTATAGTTCCAGGTCTGGGTGTTTGTCCTTGTGAAATTTGTGTATGTAAACTGCCTCCAAGATACAGGAGAAAATCCTTGTGTGTAATCGTCAAAAATATATTAATGAAGATGTATACATACATAAGATTGAGTTGTAGCACATTTCAGCAAAGATTAACAAACTTACATTCGTTATCGCTTCTCAATGGCCTTACTATACAAGAATTTATTTTCAATATATGCCACAAATAGAATTATAGTATGCCAAACTATTTTAATTGCGGTTATGTCGCCATTATCATTTAAAAAACAAGACGGCAGGACTCTGTCTGGGTAGGGATAACTTTCTTACCTATTTCTGCCGCCAAGGAATAGTGCGTGCACTTTCTTATGGTCCGAAGGATTAAGAGAGTCAGTATAAGTACTGTTAGGCCATCGTAGTCCTTAGAGGTGACAACGCTGCTTCTTCTTGTTTTAAATTATGGCTTCTCTTGATAGAATTCTGCCAGTGTTTTGAAGTTGGTGTACGATTCTCGTACATAAAACGGAATGGTGTTTTTGTTGTATGTAGCAACATTCGTATTTCTGTAATCTATTTTCTTCCTTTTTTTTTTGTTGTATATTCCTTCTTAAGATGAAGGTACGAGTTGAATGTGCTAAGTTGTAACCGCAGCTATTGTGCGACGTTAATAGTTGTGCAGTGTGCAACAAGTGTAAAAATAACTAAATACCGTCCATTAAAAGAGCCAATCGTTTTTGGGCCCACTAGAAATTTTAACGTGGCTTAATTTTATTATACTTAAAAGAGATACCAAATTTATTATAGTAAACGGCCTAAACATTTTATAAAATTGTTACTGGAATCATAAAATCTGAAAAAAAAGTTCTTTTGATATTCGTGAAATGGCTAATGTAACATGAAAACAAATACTTATAAAGAAGAACGAACTACTAAAAAAAAATTCCATCAACCTTAAAGTACCTATAAATGCTGAATGTACTTACAATTTTCTTTTATACCATTAATTATTGACCAGTGCAACTAAGTAACGCAAATATGAGTCTTTGAGACTCATGACTGACTCACTCATGAACATATTTGTGCCATTTGCTGGTTAGACTATCGGTCCGTGGGGTCCACGTGCGGTGAACTTCCTAAAGGAACTCCATCCGCGGCTGGTCGTTGCAACTGGTGATAAGAGAGCTGGCTCATTTCTCGCTCAAAGGCTAAGTATAGCCATTCAGCGGGGAAACGTAGCCGACGTTCTTGGCACGATACCGCGGGGAGTAGGGCTTTTTGATAATTAAATTACTAGTTTTCGTTTTTTTTTAAATTAAAAAAAATTACTTATAATACTGGTGAAAACTTTTTTTTGTAGGATTAGGGTGACAAACGAGCACACAGTCCACCTGATGGTAAGTGGTTGCTGTGACCCATAGACATCTGCATCTATCTTCGTTTGCGAATTAAAATACAGATGCGTTGTCAGCCTTGGGGACTAAGATAGAATGCCTCTTTTCCAGTAAAATTAGTGTCCGGTTATCTACACTCACCATACGAAACACACATATTTTACGTTGGTATTCTGTGAGAGCGTGGTCCTTCCCCGGTCAAGCCGACCCATTCGTGGTACAACTATATTATTAATATAGCTGCAGCATTGTTCTACCACGTAAAAAACTACTACTACTCGACAATCGTTTTTAGATTGTTTTTAGGTTATTGTTATATTCATATTTTAATTGTTAATTTCTCAGTATTCCCGTTAGATACGGTTAACCTAATATTACTATTGTAATCTATTGGTTATAAGGAATAGATCGACATGTGTTTCATTAAGTTACGCCTGGTTACGGCGGTGGGCCCATTCTCAATACAAAAAGAAATTGTTTCGTTTACTTGTTTGTGTCATTTAAACTAGGCACCTAACAGTTGGCTGCAGGTTTCTAAGAAATGCAGTAATCACTTACCATAGGATGAACTGTAAGTTCGTTTGTCATCACAGTTTTATATACCGTTACCGTAACCGTTACAACCTATTAAAGTCTGCTACTGAATACATAGCCTCCCCCTTAGATTGCCTCAAAGGCGGAACATTTGACATAGTTGCCACGCTTGACAAGCGGGTTGGCAACCGTAGTTTTCATACGTGGTAGAGCCATGCTGCAGCTATATTAGTAGTATAGTTGTAGCATGAATGGGTCGGCTCGACCGGGGAAGGACCACGCTCTCACAGAATACCAGCGTCAAATAGCAGCTTAACACTGCTGTGTTTCCTATGGTGACTGTAGAGAACCGGAGACCCTTTTTACTGGAAAAGAGGCATTCCATCTTAGTCCTCACGGGTAAATGTAGATGTCTATGGGCCACAGTAACCACTTATCATCAGGTGGACTGTGTGTTCGTTTGTCACCTTATTCTATTTATTTATTTATTTATTTAGATAGACCATTGACAATATCAATATGCATTGTTACGAACGAAATACAATTTTTTTAGACAAAGGATATGTCTACAGGTGTATACATGATTATATGAAAAAAAGAAAACTAAACAACATACATATAAACTCTTAACAAACACAAATCAAATCCTATAAAAAAAAGATTTTATTTTTAGTCGTTATTAAGGCTGCATAATACGAGGCTGCACCCATCTCCTGATTTGCTTCTGTCTGTCGCCTCTTACGACATCCACGGAATAATGTGGGGTAGTGAATATTCTTACACCGCCACTACACGGTTAGACGTATAATATTATCTAAAAAAGTTTTAATTAGGGAAAAAAGTTTAATAGACAGTGAGTTTTATATTAAAAAAAAAGTTTTATTTATTATCATAAAATATTATATCGCAATTTCGCATATTGTCAGCGACTTGTTGTATCTAATATGTTGTAAATATTTCTTGCAGAATCCTTTACAGCGCTCTACTTCGCACCAAATTGCGAGAATAAAAAATTACCTCTGATAGTATGGCCACATGGTGGACCTCATTCGGGATTTGTTAACGCTTACTCCTTAGAAGCGGCTTTGTTCAATATGATAGGTAAGCTTTCACCAATATTTGATGCATTACACCATGTTTGATATTTTTCACCAAAATGCAATTTATTATAAGCTATATGCCCAGGATAAGAAAATCACTTAGTGCCACTCACTAGCATTTTTTATAGAGGGCAAACGAGCATGCGGTTCACCTGATGATAAGTGTTGACCGCCGTTCATGAACCACTGTGTTGCAGTGGTCATCAACTAACCTATGATGCTATAAAATCCTTGTAGTTTAGGTGGTTGCAGATGTTCATTGGTTACAGTAGGAAATTCCTATCTTATAGACTGTAAGCTGGTTTCTCACAAGTTTTATATAAAAACTAAACTATTATATATTATAATGCTGTAATTTATAAACAATTATAAATTATAGCAATTAAATTGAAGCTGACTTAGACATTAACAAACATTTTTCCCTTCTTTTTGTAATGAATTGTACACTTAATATTTATTTATTTATTCATTTTAGGAAGGCTTACAGACTAATATCTTCGTAAAGTTACAAAGTGGTGATAAGAATTGCTAATTACAACCCTTATATTATGAATATAATTCAAAGGATTTTTTTTTATTTCTACAAGTTTGTATGTCATTATAAAATGACTGAATGACTAAATTATGATTAACTAATACTATTATATCTAGGCCAAGACAACATATATGTAAACAATTTTGAATTTGAAAGACGCAGTCTCAAGTTATTGGAAGGAAGTTCCATAACGCACGGTACGGACTTAGAGGATGGGGGCTAGGCGAAAAAAAAGTGTAAAGCCGCGTATCGATTACGCGCTCCTGGCGCGCGTTCCATGAATGACGGCGCCGACCAGTGCGCTCCGCGGAACGCGCTCCAAATGTTCCAAGTGTATCAACTAAGCAGCAGCCGCTCCAGTGTTCGACCGTTCAACATGGATGTCCGTCGTGTACGAGCAGCTGCCTCTTTCATAGTTCCATGTATCTTCTCTGAGCGCTTTTTATGATAAAAACGACTTTTGCTATTCCACAGCAGTTCTTTTGAACCATATAATTTTATCAATTTACGGCAACTTTGGTTATCCATAGTTCGGAACGCAACGAACACACGAATGATGAAAACAAACGTCCCAACTGGCGCGTGCGCCTAAACTTAACTACTTTGGTAAAAAACCGACACCAGATGGAGCGGTCCCCTATACGTTCGAGCGCTCCAATGAACAATTTGGCGCGAGCTTCAAAGCGGTATCCATTTCGCTCGGCTGGAGCGCGCGGCAATGTTTGACCTCTTTGAGCGCATAATTGATACGCGGCTTAAGAGTTTTCCGTCACGATCTTGGGGACTATAAGGAAGCGAGATGAAATAATATCCATCTCCCTCGCACTTTTCTCATCTTGTCATGAAAGAAATGTTATTGTGTTCCACGAACTCACGCATGTTTTTTTTTTAAACTTAAATGTAAACCGAAATATTATTGTATTTTGTCCCCCTAGTCCCCCACACAGAAACAAACAATCAAAAATGGCTTTTCCTTGTTAATCATTTCAAACTTCAATACAAAAAAATACCTTTTACAAAAAAAATGGACCTTCAAAAGCAGTTACAAAAATTTGTTTTAATATTTTTATTTAAAAGATATGTTAAAACTATTCTACAGCCGCTATTTTCAATCGACTTCAAAAAAAAGGAGGAGGTTCTCAATTCGACTGTATTCTCCTCACAGAACACTAAATTCTCCTTATGTTTGTTACCTCAGTACTTTTTTCTAGGTTAGCCGATTTTGATGATTCTTTTTTTTATTTGAAAGTTCCCAAATAAATTTGATCAAGATCTGACCAGTAGTTTTTGAGTTATCCCTAATAATGCGTATTTAGTTGACTTCACTACTTTGATGAAGTTCTCATTTTATTTATATTGAAGTCGATTTAAAAAAAATCACCACTTGGTAACTTCTGCTTACCTAACTAAATATTATAATATCAGCATACCATTTCAGGCTTCGCTAGTCTCCAAATAAATTATAGAGGCTCTATCGGATCAGGGAAAGCGTCAGTCCGTTACCTACCGAAACGCGTAGGGGACGCGGACGTTAAGGACTGTAAACTAGCGACAGATGAGGTCCTAAAACAGCACCCTGTGGACCCCAACAAGTTGTGCCTCTTCGGCGGGTCTCACGGTGGTTTCCTCGTCACCCACCTAAGCGGGCAGTATCCCGATCTGTACAAAGTCGTTGTCAGTCGCAATCCGGTGACAGATGTCGCTAGTATGTTCAATTCTACGGATATAGCGGATTGGTAAGTATTTGTGTATGTTTATTGTCAAAAATGGTTCTCGATTTCGCTACGGATTTCCGTGATGAGAGGTTTGTTTTATTTGTGGGACGTACACGATGTTGAGTGTAAATTATAGTTGTAATTATAACGTTTAATGAAGTAAAACTTCTGTAGGCGCGACTTAAAAGTAACTCGGATCTTTTTGGACGAAAGTAACGTTCAGTAAAATCTATAGTCCTACGTAATTTTCTCATATATAAAGGCAGCGACGGCCTATTGTATTTGGTATATGTGTTATTTACACATATATTATATAATTTTCCAATATTCGTTGCCAAGCTATTTCTAATTTCTTTAAATTATTCTTAAATTTATTTCCATTCTATTCTGATATAATATAATTAAAATTTTCTTTCTACTGACGGTTCAGTGGAGCAATGGCTAAGCTTTGAGTTGCGATGATGAGGTGAAAAAGTACAAAATATTGTTCCGAATCTGGATATATTTGTTTATGTTCGATTTATGTATGTAAAACGTCTCCACTATACAGGAGAAAATCCTAGTGTGGTGGTAAACTATTTTATAAATTACTAAAAATTTATTAATAAATTAATGAATTATTTTTAATTTTTAATAAATAATAACAATAAGAATAAATATTCAATACACAACACATTACAATAAAATAAATAACAGAAATAAATATTAATATTTAGAAATGTTAATAACATTCACGTGAACCGCAAGCAATGGTTACACGCACTTTTTTTTCTATTGAACAGTTGATTTAGTCAAGTTGGATTTTTCAACATCTGCTGGAAAGTCTTTATACAGTTTAAGAAAATTATAAATCTACATTGCTTTTTTTCTTTTCGGGATGAACGCTTAATATTTCTTTTTTATAAGTTATTATAAGCTAGTGCTTGTCTAGAATCCCACCATTTTCGAGAGTATGAAACTTTTCAACATTAAAATTACATTACATTGAAATTGTTATTGGATTTAAGAGTAAGCTTGAAGGTCGTCAAATTGTACCTTCCACATAACTTGCTTGTATAATGTTTTATAAATATTTTGTTTTGTGATGCACAATATAATATTTGTTTATTCATAACATAGCATTACTGCGTAAAAAATTGTTAGCCTATTCCTTATTTCTATTATGTATAGAAAACAACTATTAAAGAAACTATATTTATTTATATTCAAATAATGTAATAGAATAGAAATAAATAAGAATAGAATAAATAGAAGTGGCGGCCTAAGAATACCCGCTACACCATATCATCCCATGGAACAGGAGATGGGCAGCAGCATCTTTCTGATAACAACTTAAAAATTTAAAAAAAAAAACAGTGTTTGCCGACCCGCTTTCCAGACACGGCGACTGTTGAGTCCTCCCCCTCTTCCCCCTTTGAGGCAACTATGGCGAGACCTGTGTTCAGCAGTGGACTTGATAGGCTGTAAATGATGATAACGATAGAATAGAATAGAACAATTTCTTTTCTTTATTCTTTTTTGGGATTTTTGTCGAAACGACATGACAATCCCATCATACCTTATACTAATTACTGCTAACACTATACAACAAAATAGGAAAGTATAATTATGAGTAAAAGTTTCTTTTTAGTTTACCAATTAAATTACTAAACTAAAAAGAAACTTTTACTGAAGATATAAAGATAATTATTCCGTCTTAGTACCAAACCGGAATATTTATCTTGACATCCTTGATTGGGGGTTTGATAATTTAAAATAAAAATGTTGTACAACCGATTTCAATATTAATTGTTAAGAATAACTCAAAAACTATTGGTCAGACCTTAATCAAATTTATATAGGACCACATGAGAAGCACCAGCATTGAAATAAAAAAAGAATCATCGAAATCGGTTCACCCAGAATAAAGTTATGAGATAACACACATAAAAAACATACAGTCGAATTGAGTACGTCCTCCTTTTTGAAGTCGTTAGAATAAAATTAGCACTAGATCAACATCTAACACATTTGCGTTAAATTCTTTCAGCACAGCTTGTTTTTCTCGTTCTTGACAGAATCCATCAACAAATGGTAAACATCATCTTTTGTTGCATACATCACAATTCGGTGAAGGTTTTTTTCCCATTAAGAAAGCGAACTTTGCTGATGGAATATGACCAGAACGAAGCTTTAGGGCTAACTTAAAGTTTCTGCTGAGTTTACAATCATTAAACCAAGGTACGCGATAAGGCTCGCTTTGTAAAAATCTATACCAGATGCCTTTCGTTTTAGATTTTTCTTCAAAATATACGTGGTAAAGTCATGCTGCAGCTATATTATTGGTATAGTTACTTAGTTAGCTTACAGTTATATATAAAATAGAATGAGTGTAGAGAACCGGAATACCCATTTTACTGGAAACGAGGCATTCCATCTTAGTTGTCACGGGTGACAACGCATCTGCATTTTGATTCGTCATCGAGGATAGATGTAGATGTCTATGGGCCTCAGCAACAACTTACTATCGGGTGGTGTGCTCGCTTGTCACCCTAATCTTATAAAAAAAATGTTGATTTAATTGTCACACGCCAATTTAAATTTAAGCCAATTAAAATTATAGTGTACACCTAAAAGTTTAAAACAGGGTAACTCCATCTTGTCGTTTACCGATCCTTAAATATGAACTATGACAATGTTTATCCATCCCATCCCTCCTTGTTTAATTTTTTTTATTTGTGCCCTATTTACATCCCATAGGCTTTGCCTCCGTTCGCATAAATTTCCGAGGATCGACGGGCCAAGGTGACAATACGGTACGGTCTCTTATCTCCCGCGTGGGAGAATACGACATCAAAGATTGCCTTCTCACGCTCACCAAGCTGCGGGAAAGTGACGCACGATTGGAAAAATTGGTGCTTTACGGTGGAAGCTACGGCGGATTTGTGGCTGCCCACTTAGCTGGAAGATACCCTGACATGTTCAAGGTGATGGTGTTAAGAAATCCGTTGATCGATTTGGCAACGAAGGGTCATTACGCTGATAACTCTGATGGGTGAGTTGACATCTAGACAATATTTTGTTGTTACTTCCGGACCATAAGGTAAGACTAGTTTTTTGGTGTTTGCCGAGATAAAGACCAAGACTGAATATAAAAAGAAACCTTTACCGAGACCGAGGCCAGGAATTTAGAAAGTCCTTAAAATACAGAAGAAAAAAAATATAAAAGAGAGCAAAGATACAGGAGTTTTTTTTGCAATAACCGGCCAAATTTGCAGAGAAGGTTCAAGTAATATAGGCAAATGGTGAAGAAAAATTAATTTAAAAAAAATCTCAAACATTCTGTCCTTTTTATCTTTTAAATTCAAATTGCGTGGTAATGCATTATTTTAACTGATTTTACTGCGCCCGCACACATTCGTAAGAGTCGATCGGTAGGCAAAAACGCTGTTGCCCATAAATCACGTTCAATTTGGGATAATTTCAAATAAAAGTAGACGCCTTATTTACTCGTATTTTCAAAAACTGCATTAACGGTATATCATTATTTATATATTTGAACTTAAGTTTAAAATCTGACTACTCTGAAAAATAACCATGTATAATACTAAACAATTGCTCATATATTAACATTCTCTGCCATTGCCGAGACTACAACGAAAATAAGGCTGAGACCGAGATCGAGATTGAGATCTCGTTGGAACTTACCGAACCGTTATATCGCAGAGTTTTAAAGTGAAAAGGAAACAGTCATATAGTGCGATAGGTTTTTGATACTCTTGGTAGGATGGTAGGATGGTAGGCTTCTTGAAAATCGTAGTAAGCTAGACTCCTCGCATCTTCTAAAGGTAGCAGTACACGTTGGCCGAACGCACTCGGCGAGCGCGTTCTGCCAACTGTGGGCCGTTTTGTGTATATTTGGCGTTTGCGGCCAACACTTGCCGACAAGCCGTATAGTGTCGGTTTTCCGTGCACAAATCAAAGAAATTTGGCGCAAGCCGCAAATAGCGATCACACGTTGGCCGAGTGTTCAGTTCATAGTTACGCTTTACGGCTTAATAAAATTATTTCACGAACATGGCGACATGGCCTAATGAGGACATATTTAGGTTCATTGATTCTTATCACAATGAACCAGTTATATGGAACCCCAAACATGAGCAACATAAAAATAAGGCCGCGATCACTAACGTCCATCATCATCTAGCTACCAACGCAGAATGAAGTACGCCAACGTGTGAACGGCACCACAAAAATCTGCCGAGTGGGCTCGCCAAGCGCGCTCGTCCAACGTGTACTGGAGCCTTCATATTTTCCGTCACCATTGTAGTTATTTATTACATAAAGACATTAAGTACACTGATGAACAAAGGCCCCCCAAGGAATGTCGCAAACCATGGTCCTTAGCCACCTGCATCCATCGACTTCCTTACCAGGTCGTCTCTCCATCTAGTGGGGGCCCTCCCTATGGTGCTTCTCATGTGGTCCCATATAAATTTGGTCAAGGTCTGACCAATAGTTTTTGAGTTATTCTTAATAATTTATATTGAGGTCGGTTGTACAAAATCTTTAATTTTAAATTATGGGTATATAAAAACTAGAAACCGAAAAACTTTTATTTAAAATGCAAAATTTTAATGATGATGACATTGTATGACCATCTGCGTAACAAATAACCTTAGTCCCAACTAGCGACATCTGGTGAGTGTAGGAATGTTAGTCCTCATTAATTAAGATCTAATTTAAAATTAACTCCGTATTAACGTTTAAATCATATTTAACTGTACAAGAATACAGATTCGCAATAATAAAACGCTCAAACCTCCTCGGTTTGACATGAAAAGTATTAAATGAAATTTTACGGATTTTATCGAGTTTAATTTTAACTTTTTAATCCCTGATTATGGCGTTTGACGTCCCGATGTCATAGTAAACCCTCTACTCTACCATCACTTTTTGAATATTAATTTTTGGTCCGATCTCCGTCCGGTGATCATCTCTGTCCTCCCCATGACCATGGGTGCTGTAAAGCACCCGAAACG